CTGGTTTTTAATTAGATAATAATATTAAAGCTAACTCTAAATGGAGCTAACATTTAACTTATTGAAATTAAATATTTAACTAACTACTTAATAGTTATATATCAATTAATTTTTGCTGATCAATTTGATTATAACAATTATACAAAAATGATAGAGAATTATTTATCAATTAGATTATAATTGATTAATTTGGAAATGATTAATTTAAATTATTATATTCAACAATTAACTGTCTATTTAAATAAATTTGGATACTATTTAAATTTCTTATAGTTCAAAACTCAAATACTTATCTAATTAATCATGGAGTAAAGCCTAAATATGGACATGATAATTTTTTGACTTACAGGAAATTATTTAAAAGATTCTAAACATTCAATTTAAAATAATGTATCCAGAATTATTCAATTGAAAATTGTTATTATAAATGTTACAGAAATGATTCTTATCAAAAAAAGAATTCATTTATAACAGCTGAATTTTATTTTTAATAGCTTTCAAGAATTATATGAAATTATTTCTCTTGGATTAAATTTTTGATTTTATCATAATTTCTTAAATTATAAATAACCCTTATTTCACATCTCAAGTAAATTGAAGTTAGATAAACATCAAATTCTTAAATTACTGAATTAAATTCAATTACATTTTTATAAGTAATATCACCAAAAAATGGGATTTACTAACACATTTTTTGGATGATTATATTAGAAATCTGATTAGTTGAATTTATAAACTTTTATATGTATGTATGTTGAGATATATTTGCTATTAGATTCTATATGATGGATTAAGATTTTCTATTTTCTAAAAATTTGTATTAAAATTTATTCAATATTAAACTATATTATTATCATAGGTAGAATTATTGAATTTAATTATTTATAAATTTAATTTGTAAATTGCATATAGCTTTTTTGTTTAAAGAATAACTTCATCATTCTTATTGATTTCAATAAAATATCCCAACTATTCTCACAAACTTAAGATTCTACATATGATGTCTGGTGTATTTAAATTTTAGAAAAATTTGAGTAAATAAATAAAAAAAGTTGAATAATATTACCTACTCGAATTATTAATTTTTATGTTTTGAATTAAAAAACACGTGCTTTGAATATTCGTAAAAATAAAAATGGAGAGACATCGCAATAAATAAATTAATAGAGTAAAATAATTAAATTAATTTATCGTACTACTCAAATAAATTTTTAAATATAATACTCTAACTTTTATGATAGAATAAAATATAATTCTATATTGCTACAATAATTTTGCAAAAAAACATGGTTTTATAAAGTAAAGAGTCCTTGTAAAAATTATAATTATCTTTGTAATAGTCTTGTTATTTTTAGATAAATCTATTATACAAAGATATTAAAAACAATTGATAATAAAAAGTAGAATTGTTATTGAATTAGTATTAAATAATTTAACAAAAAACAAAATGGGAAATAACAATCAATCGAAAGTAACAAAATAGTTTAATTATATACATTAGTAAGAATGCTTATATGTTCAAAAACAATAATGGTTAATACAAGAAACCAAAAATTGAAAACTTTTAATGGTAAGAAGCAACATAGATAAATGAAGAGGTCACTTGGGATCCTTTTATAAGTAAATTTTTCAAATTTAAAATAAAAATCACCTTTNCAAAAATGATAGAGAATTATTTATCAATTAGATTATAATTGATTAATTTGGAAATGATTAATTTAAATTATTATATTCAACAATTAACTGTCTATTTAAATAAATTTGGATACTATTTAAATTTCTTATAGTTCAAAACTCAAATACTTATCTAATTAATCATGGAGTAAAGCCTAAATATGGACATGATAATTTTTTGACTTACAGGAAATTATTTAAAAGATTCTAAACATTCAATTTAAAATAATGTATCCAGAATTATTCAATTGAAAATTGTTATTATAAATGTTACAGAAATGATTCTTATCAAAAAAAGAATTCATTTATAACAGCTGAATTTTATTTTTAATAGCTTTCAAGAATTATATGAAATTATTTCTCTTGGATTAAATTTTTGATTTTATCATAATTTCTTAAATTATAAATAACCCTTATTTCACATCTCAAGTAAATTGAAGTTAGATAAACATCAAATTCTTAAATTACTGAATTAAATTCAATTACATTTTTATAAGTAATATCACCAAAAAATGGGATTTACTAACACATTTTTTGGATGATTATATTAGAAATCTGATTAGTTGAATTTATAAACTTTTATATGTATGTATGTTGAGATATATTTGCTATTAGATTCTATATGATGGATTAAGATTTTCTATTTTCTAAAAATTTGTATTAAAATTTATTCAATATTAAACTATATTATTATCATAGGTAGAATTATTGAATTTAATTATTTATAAATTTAATTTGTAAATTGCATATAGCTTTTTTGTTTAAAGAATAACTTCATCATTCTTATTGATTTCAATAAAATATCCCAACTATTCTCACAAACTTAAGATTCTACATATGATGTCTGGTGTATTTAAATTTTAGAAAAATTTGAGTAAATAAATAAAAAAAGTTGAATAATATTACCTACTCGAATTATTAATTTTTATGTTTTGAATTAAAAAACACGTGCTTTGAATATTCGTAAAAATAAAAATGGAGAGACATCGCAATAAATAAATTAATAGAGTAAAATAATTAAATTAATTTATCGTACTACTCAAATAAATTTTTAAATATAATACTCTAACTTTTATGATAGAATAAAATATAATTCTATATTGCTACAATAATTTTGCAAAAAAACATGGTTTTATAAAGTAAAGAGTCCTTGTAAAAATTATAATTATCTTTGTAATAGTCTTGTTATTTTTAGATAAATCTATTATACAAAGATATTAAAAACAATTGATAATAAAAAGTAGAATTGTTATTGAATTAGTATTAAATAATTTAACAAAAAACAAAATGGGAAATAACAATCAATCGAAAGTAACAAAATAGTTTAATTATATACATTAGTAAGAATGCTTATATGTTCAAAAACAATAATGGTTAATACAAGAAACCAAAAATTGAAAACTTTTAATGGTAAGAAGCAACATAGATAAATGAAGAGGTCACTTGGGATCCTTTTATAAGTAAATTTTTCAAATTTAAAATAAAAATCACCTTTACAAAAGATAAAGAAATCATATACTCTTCATTGGATGGCTCAATTTTAAGAATGTACTTTTTTATTACTAAATTTAGAGATTCAATTTTAGACATTTTTAAGAAACCAGATGTGCTTAGAAATTTAGATTAAATAGAAAATCTTCAATGGCAAGGGAAATATGGAGATAATAAAAAAAAAATAGGATTATGGTATCTCGTTTGGAATGGAGAAATTCTTAAAGATGTTGGGGGATCATATTAAAAAGATGGATTAAAATAAGGTCTATGGAAATAATTAATCAAAAATTATTGGAAGTAAATTTTAAATAATTATATGAAGGAGAGCAAAATTATATGAAATTGGGGAATATTTTAATGATCATAAAAGAGGAAAATGGAAGTATATATATGAAGATAAAGAGATGTATTTAAATAATATTCCTTTTTAGAGGTGGAGGATTATACAACGAATTTGGTGAAAAAACTGGCAAATGGATTGATATTAGCAGAAACTTTTGGGAGTATAAACAATAATTATTAAAAAGTGAGAGCCAAATCCTTTTTATTGGGAATTAGATAAATGGATGCAAAGTTGGCAGATGGGATATTAATTGGAGAGAATAAAAAGATTCATAATTTATAAAAATGTAAAATGAATCATTAGACTTTTTAGTGGAGGTGGATCATATGACAATAATCTTAAGGAGAAGAAGAAATAAAAATTGGTGAATGGATTGAATTAAGTAATGGATTTTGGAAGTTTGTTTATTGAATTTAATTATACATTTTAGTAAAAGTTAAGTAACCTATAGTGGGAAGTATGTAAATGGTAAAAAAATTAATCGTTGGAATATCCTCGTTTAGGGAAAATTAATGTAATAAATAAATAAATCTAAACCTTACTTTAGTGGTGGTGGACAATACGGAAATAAAGAAAACAATTATGGAATTAAATAAGGTAAATGGATTGAATTAGATGATGGATTATATAAGTAATAGAATTTAATCAACTTTATTAGTTCTAATTAAATTACATATAGAGGTGAATATAAAAATAGTATAAAAATTGGTAAATGGGATATTATTTTTAGAGATTCAAATGTCAACTAGGATATATAAATGTAAAAATATTATTCTAAATCATTAAATCAGTGGTGGTGGTTTTTATGATGAGTAATCATCAGATAAGAAAGGAATTAAAATAGGGAGCTGGATTGAGATTAGTGATGGATTTTATGAGTATAATTTTTGGATCGATAACTTATTATTTACTAGTTTTAGGTAAGTTACTTACTAAGGTGAATATTAAAATGGTAAAAAAGTTGGTAGATGGGATATTTATTTCAAAGATTTATGTATGGACAACAACATATATATGTAAACTTTTATTTTAACTCATTTATTAGCGGAGGTGGATCATTTGAAATCTAGTCAATAGGAGATAGCATTAAAAGAGGAAAATGGTAAGAACCTGATGATAAATTCAGAAGGTACTTGATTTGAAACTATTTATTATTAAAGTTAGAGTTAAATTATTTAAATTGGTGAATATAAAGACGGTTAAAAAGTTGGACTCTGGCAAATCTATTAAGAAAATATTTTTCAGTAGAAAAGAAAACAGATGTACAATTCAAAATATAAATAATTTCTTTTAGTGGTGGTGGAATCTATATTGATAAACAAGGATGTTAAGGTATTAAAATAGGTTTATGGATTGATTTGAGTCGTGATTTTTGGAAGTATATTAAATTGATGATTATTATTATTCCTGGTTTTATAGATATGGTTAAATCACTTTCTAAGGTGTATATAGGAATGGTAAAAAAGTTGGTAAATGGGATTAAAATTTTATTGATGATTTCAATATGTAGAATTATTAGATGTAAAATAAAATTTCTATTTTTTAGAGGTGGAGGATCTTATGATAATTAGCAAGATAATATTGAGAAGAATGGAAACTGGATTGTGTTTTGTGATTATTTCTAGATGTAAATTAGATTTATTATATTTTATTAGGCGTAGATAAATAACTTATAAAGGTGAATATGCTAATGGCAAAAAAGTTGGTAGATGGGTCATGCATTGGAAATGGAATGGTAAGTTAAAAAAGATGTAAGTCAATTAATTTATATTGAATAATTTAGTGGAGAGGGTTTATATGATACCTTGTAAGGAGAAGGGGGAGTTAAGGTTGGCAAGTGGACTTTTGTTGACGATAAGTTTAACAGGTATCTTGATTTTATCAGGAATTTTAGTGGTTGTTAAGTTACTCATAGAGGGAGATATTAAAATGGTAAAAAGGTTGGTAAATGGGATATATATTATAGAGAAGGAAAGTAGAATTGATGTAAATTAATTTGTTATATATGTATTAAGTGGTGGTGGATTTTATGATTATAAAAAAGAAGGAGATGAAATTAAGATAGGAAAATGGATTGATTTGAGTGATACATTTCGTGTGTACTTATATTTGATGGATTTATTGTTTTAGTGATAATTAAATTATTTATTGTGGGGATTATGGGGAGAGTGGGAAAGTAGGTAGATGGGATATTTTTTGGAGAATGAAAAGAAATCTTTAATTTTAATTTATGTAAAATATTAAAAGATGTTTTATATTAGTGGAGGCGGATCATATGATAGTAAGCAACAAGCAGAAGCAGATGTTAAAATTGGAAAATGGATTGAATTGAGTGAAGATTTGAAAAAGTATATGAAATAAATCATTTTTATAATAGTTATAATTGGATAATCTATGAAGGAGTGTATAGAAATGGTTATAAAATTGGAAAATGGAATATCAAAAGGAGACAATATAATGAAACTGAATTTAAAAACATGTAAGTGATATTAATAAAATATAAATACAGAGGTGTTTAAACATATGATAATTGAATTACAAATTAGATACATAGAATAATTATTTATATTTTTGAAAAGCTTTATGTAAATATTTATTGAGGTTTATTTCATTTTTTATCATCTTTCATTATAAACTAATTAATTGAAAATTTTTGGCTAGAAGTTTCTCAATAGGGTAATTTTCTGTATCCGTAATCAGATAAATATTGATCTGTATCCTTTTCTATTTTTAATTTTTATTAAGGTAGTTTTCTATTATGATGATTCAAGATAGTTTAATATAAAAATAATTATTTAAGTCTCTACAATATAATTAAATTATTATTGTGGCATAGTTTCATTACTAAACAGATCTGGCTCATAAACTTACAATTTATTTTTAGGGCCTTATTGATTTTATTATTTACCTGCAAACAATAACCACATAATTTAAAAATTAGATTTATAAAACTTATTTCGAAAGCTATTTTTTGATACATTCTTTTTTGTCATTAATAGATAAAAACATTTATTTCTTATTTTTTGTAAGCTTTAGTTAAAAATTTAAATAGAATTTAAAGAGTATTTATTTGTTTACAAAGATATATTTCAATTTAAATTTAGGAAAAAATTTTGTTTATAATTTGTTCATTAAATTAATCTCAAAAAAGTCTGATAAATATGGAACAGCAAATTTAATAAAATGAAATAAAATATCAGGGACTTGTTTTTGAAATTATTGATACATCATCATTAGATTCTTAAATAAATTTAAGGTAAGTAAAATTTGGGCAAAAAAAATTAGTACATTTGTATTTTTCAAATTATCAAAATACCCTCGAATTCTTATGCATACAAAAAGCCTAATATCTTAATATCAACTGATAATTTCAAGAATTTATTTGGGGCACTTTAGTATAAAATCTATAATACATTTCTTAATTCTTTTCTATTAATTTTAAGGATTAAATATTTGGAGAGATTGGAAATTTTAATTTTAATATTTTTTCTACCAATCGTTTTGATTTATTTTAAATTAATAATTTAAATTGATAACATAATATATCTTAATTTTTTATTACTACATTAAGATATATCTAATTATAACCTAAGCAATTATTAATTCAACCTTTCTATCAATCATTCCATCAAAAAGCTATGAATATTTAATATTTTTATATAAGTTTTAATTTTACTTATTTTATTACCTATTCATATCAAAACTCTATCATGCAATTCTTAATATATGGAAAAATAAATTAGGGTTTTAGTTCAAATACTTATTGAAATTGTACCAAACTTTTCTATAGTTTTAAATTATAACGCATATATGGAGGCAAAAAGTTATGAGATATGGCTTTTTTTCAATATTTTTTATACTTTTTTATATTGATGTTATGGACTCTAAAACTATCGAAAATGAATATTACATTTTTTCCAAAATAATGATTGCTTACATTCTTATATAATTCTAACTCCTTTTAAGTACCAATCAGTATATAATATGCAAATAGATTAGAGCAAATGTATATGTTGATGTTAAGATTTTATCATCAAAATATTTTATTAAAGTCAATTTTATATTACTTAACATTTGACCAATTATTAATTTTACTCATTCTGAAATAGTTGTTTAATTTATGTAAATATAGGTAAAGGATTGAAAAATAGTACTTAAATTAGAAAACTATTATCATTAAATTGCCCATATTTTAGAGTTAAACAAGAATAATTTTAACATCGAAGAATGACCATATATTTTTATAAAGGAAATCTAAACCTAATTATTGATGAGCAAAACATTATATATTTTAATCTTATAATTAAAATATAAAATGATCTCAGATCACCAAGAAATTAAAATCAATTATTTTACCAAAGATATTATACATTTTATAGCAGAAATAAAATTTTTAAAAAATTAAAACAAATCCCATATTCACAACATAATACACAGCCAATAATGGTTGATTTTAAGACATTGAAATTACCACTTCAATATATTATTCTAATTCAATTTTAAATCAAAAAATTTACTTTAAAGATTATCTATTTATTGTAAATTTTAAATTTAACATATAATTTTCTCTTCCTCCTTTGATTTATAAATTCTCACATTAACTTATCGCTTTCGAAATCCCATTTAACATCAAATATTTTTGAATTTATTTGATATAATTTTAACAATAGCAAATCAAATGATCTTTTTTTTAATTATCTTTTTCAATAAAATAAAAAAATTAAGTTGATTTAAATTTAAGGATTTAAATACTTATTATCTTATCATAATTGGCTTAAACTTAAATATCATATGGGAAATATCTCAAATTTTAGTTACCATTTATCCATTTATTTTTTTTATCATAATTCTATAATCTGAATTAGCTTATTTTCTACTAATACTGGTGATTTTGAAAAATTTTTTCTTTAGTAATAGCACTAATATGTAAGGTTTTTGAAAAATGATAAAAATTCACTCACTAATAGAGTTAATTAATTTACTGGATTCACAATTTTCTACTATCTTTAATTAAATCGATAAAATTTTAACATAGTAATTTTAATGGTAACAATAAAATTGTTATTACATCGTTTTAAAGTTTATCAATAATTATTTAGTCTTAAATATACTAAATTTTAATATTTACATGATGAATTCAGAATATATAACATTAAATTATTTATTAATTAGATTTATTTTCTTTATAATATTAATATATATAAAAGGTTGTATTTGACAATATTAATTTAATGATAAAAGTTTAATTTTCCACTTTTATCGTTAATAAATTTCACCTTTTTGAGTATTTAATTTCATTATTCTTATGATTAATATTTATGGTTAACAAGAGAACCAAATTAATTTAGTTTAATTTAATATATAATATTTAAAAACAGGAATTTACGATTCTTAAATTTGATTTTTAATTAATAATGAAAAAAGCATTGAATACTATTGATAAAATGGATATATTTGGAGTTCCTATTCATTTACTTACTAATGAAAAGGCTTATTAATTTCAAAGTAAAGTCGGAGGAATCATTACTTTGATTGTAGGTAGCGTTAGTTTTGCATATTTTTTATATGTAATTGTATAATGGATAAATAATTAAATACCACCTAATATAAGTTTTCAATAAGAAACAATTGGATATGCTCAATTCGAATTATAATAATCAATGATAGAATTGATTTTATTAGATTTCACAAGTGATGTAGATCCTTTCAGAAAATAAAATAATATTATCACACCACATTTATATATAATTACCAATACAACAATTGATAATGAACCTATTCCTTTATTTAGTAATGAAGACAAACCATTTACAATATCCATAGACAATCTTACTTTAGTTTTAAATCATGAACTTTATCCAACATTTGATCATTAAGAAATGAAACAATATTTACTTGTTCTTGAAAAGTGTTCTAATAATACTTTAAAAGATGGCAGCTACTGTGCTGATTAGAATGTTATTAATGATTATTTATCATAATATCATGGATTTCTGTTTTTAAATATTAAATTAAAATAACTAAATCGAATGACAAGATAATTAGAAGAATTTAATAAATAATATTACACAGTTTTTGATATTAATATACCTACTTACTCATAAGTTATGTTGAAATAGTAAGAAACTATTATAGATGATGGAATATTGTTTAATAATTACCAAAGTTTTTAATTCATAAATAATTATGAACTTATAAACTAGTAGGTTGATCCTTACTTTGCCTCTAAAGTTGTATCATCAATGTCATTAAGTCCTAAAAATTTTACAAATTTAGGATGCTACTTATTCAGATTAGATAATATTTCTATTAAAGAACATGTAACAATACCAAAACTAGGTCAAGTCCTTGCTTAAGTTGGTTCTATTGTCTAATTAATATTTATATTAAAACACATAGCTTTGTTTTATAATAAGAAATTACTTGAAAATTAATTGCTTCATCAAATTATAATTATGTATTATCCTGAATTAAAGAATGTAAAGCTTAATATCTTAAATTAATGTGAAATCAAAACAAGTTCAGACTTAAACATAAAGTATTCAATTTAAGATTTTAAATTAAAATATTAATTATTATTGTAAAGAGCTTAAGAAAAATGTAGACTTAATAATATTTTGTATGAAATATCACGAATTTAATTTATAATTTAGCAGCAATTTGGTGATTAAGCTTTAATATAGAGTCATTAATTAGGAGGAAAACTATTAAACAATAATCTTTATTTTGAGAATTGTAAAGAATCAAATAGATTAACGGTAAAACCAGTTAATTCGATAGATTTAGAGAATGAACAAATTATATAAGATCCCCTTGAATTATTATTATCAAATTAGTCTTGATTTATTAATTATTATTTTTAATTTCAAATATATGATAGCAATTTTTCAGCATGGATGAAAAAAAAGAAAAACCAAAATTTTAATCTTTAAATTTACATAAATTAATTCATGATTTTTAATAAATATTTGCTTGATTAAATATATATTATACTATAAAAAAATATATTAAGCCATTATCATCTTTAATTTCAATTTTATATGTAAATATTTAACAATATTCAGAATCTAAAATTATTTGTTAAATTAATAAATTAGGGATAAATTTTAGTTTTTTTATAAATTTTACTTTTAATTATACTGTAAGAAAGAGCATACTGAATTAAGTAAAAAAAGATTCATTATATAATAGCAATTTAGAAAAATTAACAAAAATCATTGATATAAAAAGTAATTAAGAACATTTATTTAATGATTTAAAACCATAGATTAAAAAATTGATAATATGATTCGAATAAAATTTATATCATTATTAGTAATCATCATATTTTATTTCATTTATGAACCATTTATACTTCCATTCCTCTTCAACCCATATACCAACTTTTCTCCCATGTATATACTCTCCACTACAGATGACTTAAAAATAGCTAGCAAACCTATCACTTAATTCAATCCATTTCCCAATTTTAATTGAACCTTCTTTTGCTGAATCTTAATATGAACCCCCTCCTCTTATATTTTATTATTTATTTTTACATCTATTAAAATTCTTATTACCATTATAGCCTAAAAGAAGTATCCCATCTACCAAATTTTTTACCATTCTTATATTCACCTTTTTCTATCACTTGCAAATCCCATTTAAATCTATCATTTAGTTCAATCCACATCTCTACTTTAATTGAACTTCCTCCTATCCATATATCATATGATCCACCTCCGCTAATAAATCTTATTCTTGTGTTTACATCTATAAAAATTCTTCCTGGTAATTCTCCCTATAAAAAATATCCCATCTTCCACATTTTTGACCATTTTTTATATATTCACCAATATAGCTGTTCTAGTAAAAACTTACAAATCCATCACTTAACTCAATCCATCTTCCAAACTTACTTGAAACTCCTTCTGCCTACTCGATATATAATCCTCCTCCACTTATTAATTTTATTATATATTTACATTTACTACAATTCTACCTAATTTTTTTCCTTATAACAAATATCCCATTTTCCAATTCTTTAACCCTGTTTATATTCACCTCTATAAGAAACTTATGATTAATTATAAAACTCATCACTCAAATCAATCCATTTTCCAATCTTAATTGAATTTCCTTCAATTTAATCTTAATATGATCCTCCTCCTCTAAAGTTTGATTCATAATTTACATTTATTAAAATTCTTCTTACTCTTTTTCTTTATAATAGGTTTCCCACTTTCCAATTTTTTTACCATTTTTATATACGCCTTTATAGATTACTTAGCAATGCCTCCAAAATCTATCACTCAGTTCAATCCAAATCCCATTTTTAGTACAATTACTTCCTATCCCTTCTCTGTAATACCTACCACCACTAGATTAAATTAATATCATATAAGTATTACAACTGTGAATTATTTCTATCATAATTCCAATAAGTATTCCATGTACCAATTTTTTCACCATTTTCATAATCACCTTCATATGTAATTTATGAGTGAATCCAGAATCCATCACTCAATTCAATCCATCTCCCTATCTTAACAGAACATCCCTCTATCTAATCTCCAAATGATCCTCCGCCTCTATAAAGTGGATTATTAATATTTACATCTATTAAAATTGTTCTGATCCTTAATCTCTAAAATAAATATTCCACCTGCCAATTTTTTAACCATTTTTGTATTCACCATTATATGTGACCTAAGAATCATTATCAAATCCATCGCTTATCTCAATCCATCTTCCATTTTTAATTGAACCTTCTCCAACCTCTTCATATAATCCACCACCACTAAATATTTGGTATTTACATAGATACATTTATTCATTCCTTTATTCTTAATCATCTCTATGATACAAAATATCCCATCTGCCAATTTTATTACCATTTTTATATTAGCCATGATATGTAACCTAGGAATCATTATCAAATCCATCACTTATCTCAATCCACCATCCATTTTTAATTGAACCTATTTCAGCTACATTATAAAATCCACCACCACTAAACATTTAGTTTTAAATATTTACATTTATTTATTCCCAAAATCTTCATGATCTCTATGATTATGATGCCAGATGTCCCACCTCCCAATTTTTTTACCATTTTTATATTCACCACTATATGTGACTTAGGAAAAATGATAAAACCCATTACATAGCTCTATCCACTTTCCATTTTTCTACCCAAACTAATTAAATTATCCTCCACCACTAGTTGTTATTCAATAATAATACATTATTTTTTAATTATAAATGTATTTCCAAATTCCAATCTTATAATTATTACAGTATTCTCCATATTGAAATACTTAAGCTTGACTATTATAATACTGATAAATAAT